TTTCAGACACTGTTGTAGCTTGAAGCTTCTTGTTTGCTGAAAGTCCTTAATTAACAGCCTCAGGTGTTTCTAATCAGGTTGCAGGTGAACTGGAAAGTGGCTCTTCGGGATCAGGATTGTCCTAAAGGAAAGCTCTTTGTGTTTCAGTCTTCATGTGTTGATGCAGATCCACTGATTGTCCACAAGAGGGAAATGAAACACTGATTTCATTTTAGATTTGACAAGTATTTTAAAGCTTGTTTGGAGTGGTGCAACACAAAACAATGTTATTATTGAAAATGTAAAAAAAATGACTGTATATCAATTTTATTTTAACATCATTGTTTTCTGTGGGGTTTCTTCAATGGCACTTCATCCAGTTTAATAACTTGCCAAGGGAGGGTCTCAGTTTTAAAAGACTGAACTGAACTAAAATTAAATACTTGTAGATCAGATAAGCGTTTCAGTTCCCTCTTGTGGACAATCAGTGGATCTGTATCAACACATGAAGACTGGAACACAAAGAGCTTTCCTTTAGGACAATCCTGATCCCAAAAAGCCACTTCAGTTCACCTGCAATCTGATTAGAAACACCTGAAGCTGTTCATTAAGGACTTTCAGCAAACAAGCTTTAAAATACTTGTCAAATCTAAAATGAAATCAGTGTTTCATTTCCCTCTTGTGGACAATCAGTGGATCTGCATCAACACATGAAGACTGAAACACAAAGAGCTTTCCTTTAGGACAATCCTGATCCCGAAGAGCCACTTCAGTTCACCTGCAACCTGATTAGAAACACCTGAGGCTGTTAATTAAGAACTTTCAGCAAACAAGAAGCTTCAAGCTACAACAGTGTCTGAAACACCAGAGATGAACGTGAAAGTCACAGTGGTGCATGAGGGTAAACACATGCTCACTGACAATAAAATAGTGGGTTCAAAGCCCTCTTCAGCTTCAAGCATGAACAGGATATTAGGAAAATCAGGGTGAAATATAAGTCCCAGCATGTGATCAGTAGTTAGAGCACTGAACTGTTGCAAAGAAGGCCTGTGATAAAAGGTGTTTGTGAAATCCAAGTGTCTGTAACATCAGTCTTGAACATGAAAGTCACAGTGGCGCATGTGGTTAAACTCATGCTCTCTCATGATGGAGTTGTGGGTTCAAATCCCACTGCAGTTAAAGTTTTAACAGGATATTAGTAAAATCAGGGTGAAATATAAGTTCCAGCATGTGTTCAGTAAGGAGATCTATGGCTTGCTGGTTAAAGCACTGCACTGTAATAAAGAAGACCTGGGTTCAAATCTCACTATTGCAAACATGAAGTAAATAACGTAATATTTGACAGACTTTGCTAAACTCCTCATGCAAGTGTGAGAGCCACAGTGGCGCTACTGGATGAACACATGCTCTCTGCGGGGAAGGTTGTTGTAGACTTGTGTTCAAACCCCAGCTCTGCTCTATCTTTGCACAGCGAGCAGTGAAATAATAGTCAAATATGAGTTCCAGCATGTGCTTTATCATGAGAAATGTGGCTCAGTGGTAGAGCACTGTGCTCTCATCAAAGAGATCTGGGTTCAAACCCCACTCAAGCTTTAAATGTTTTCATGTTCACTTGAATAGTCAAATATGAGTTCCAGCACATCATTCTACATGTGATCTGTGACTCAGTGGTAGAGCAATGCCTCACAGGATAAGAGGTCGCTGGTTCAATCCCAGCCAGATCACTGCGATATGTGTGAATGTGGTGTGAAAGAAGGGGTGGGATGGGTCGGGTCCCACCCTGACCTACGGGGCCATGTACAGCAGGGGTTATGCTGCTTTTTACCACAAAATTAAATTTAGCTGTATAAAAATTCGGACCCCCGTCCCTTCTCCTCCCGTTTCGGTTACTATCATTTCCTTTCCAGAGGGACGACCCTCCAGAAAGAAAAGGATAATAACCGATACACCAAACCTCAAACACAAGGTGCGGGTCTCACCTGTCCAGCAGCAGACGTCCGTCCTTACAGTCCACGGCTGTCAAATGTCCCAGAGCTCCGCTTCTCTTGGCTGTACAGTCCAAACACAAGCTTCAGTCTGGAGAGGAAACACAAATAAAGACTTTACTACAAAAACACATCTGAAACAGCAGAACTGATCAGAGTTCAGCAACATAAGATAACGTACAGTACAGTGTCTATTGACAGCTACAATATTGAAGACTGCAGCTCTACAAAAGCTCACTAATTGACTTTTAAACAAGGATAAGTGCAGATTTATGCTGCTTTATAATATAAATATCACAATATTCTCTCTCAAAGAAACTATAAACATAAACTCTATCAGTGACATTAGCAAGAAACATGTAAACAATCAGATAATACTTCATGAAAGCTGAGGAAAGCTTCATTCATGCTTGTTTGTCAGACTCCACTGTTGAACATGTTGAAGATTAAAGACAGCATCAACATCAGCTCTGACTCTTACAGTGTTCAACTCATTTCATCCATCACAACAGAAATATACATCAACTGACAGACGAGCTGTATTCATAACAGCAGACACTATTAATCAGCGCTCTTTATAAAGAGCAGAAGCTGTTTATAGAGCCCGTGTCAGTCATTTCACAAGCAGAAAGAGAACTTTATAGGAGCTGATACTCACAGGTGAGTCTCTTCAGTCGATTCCTGCACTTGATCGCAGATTGTTAATCTGCTGTTGAGCTGGAATATGTGCTGTTTAAACACATTAGGAGGCTGTCGCTAAACTGTCATCTGTAAATGATATATTTAAAATAAACTAGGAGTTTTGTTTTGGCGACTGTCATCTGTCATCACACGCTTCTTCCTTGTTGTCAAACAAACACCTGAAGCTGTGAGTCAGACTAAACGTGAAGCCGCTCCCGCCGTCTAGTGGAGCGGATGAAGAACTGCACTAAATAATAATACTAAATAAAAGTACAGACGTGTGCTTGAACCCACGACTTCATCACAGGCTCGTTCGTCTTCAAGTAAGGTGTTTATCCAGTGGAGCCACACTGCCTTACATGCTCTCTGCTGAAGTTTAACACACTTTGATGGATGTAATGCAGCTTGTTGGCTTTAACATTGGCTATAATGGGACTTGAACCCAGGACTCCAGATTTTCAAGCAAACTCTTTATCTCACACACCACAGAGGATGTGGAGATGTTTAATATTTTGGTGTTTAAATGTTTAGTTCAGCTTCAACACTAATAATAACTCAACATGAGCATCAGGAGGACTTGAACTCAGGACTCTGTGATAAACACACAACACTTTTACCAGCTGAGCCACTGAGTCTGACACTTTCTGCTGTTTTTCTCTCAGTTTTATCCAGAGATTTGTTGTGAGAAACAATAATGTGAAAATGCAGGATTGTAAATCAGACTTTGATGATCTGCAGACGAGCGATCATCCACTGAGCCACAGAGATCTCAATAAATTACTTCTTTATTATTGTTAGTAAGTCTAGTTTAGCGAACACTGATAATAATTCAACATCAGCAATATCGAGAGCTGAACTCTGGTCTTGTTGACTCAAGGCAATGACTTTCCTGCTGCGCCACTGAGATTGAGGATCTCAGATGTTTTAGACTCAGGTTTGGTCATCAGACTACATTGAAGAGCAGCTGAAAGCAGATAAATGTGTTAATGAGCGCCACCTTGTGGACAACAAGTCTATCTGCATTCATACATGAAAACATCAGCAGAACTTTAAGGGACAGCTCTGTGATCCTGATCCTGCTGAGCCGATCTCCTGAGTTTAGCTGCAACCCTGATTAAAAACAGCAGCAGCAGCTGATCAAGGCCTTCAGCATCACTGGTGTTGCATTGTTTGTGAGAGAAATAAAATATTTTCTTTATTAATTGTTATTTACATATCTTGCGTTATCATTTTGAGTTTGATTATATATTTTGTTGACCATGTTTATGTTGTGCAACTCAGACCACTTGTTTTAATACATAGAATAATGTTTTCTTGCCACATCAGTTTACTCACTCAAATCAAAGCTGAACTAAACCTCTGTCCTAAACATCAATAAAATAAACACATCAGCAGTCCAGTCAGGGGCCTGTAGCATGAAGCTGAATTAGTTGGCTAAACAATTATGTTTTAGATTTTTTTGCACCAGTTTTGGGTTTTAGGTAGAGCTGCAGGATATTGAAAAAAAAACAGACATTGCAATATTTAGTTTTTTTATGGTATATACTGCAATAGAAATATAATGTCAGACAATAAGACTAATACTTGTTCTCCCCGTGTTCGTGTGGGTTTCCCCCACAAATCCAAAGACATGCGAAATAGGTGAATTGGGTAAGCTAAATTGTGTAATGCTAATTGTGAATGAGTGTGTGTGGATGTTTCCCATGCATCTTTTTGCAGCTAGAAGTGCATCAGCTGCGTAAAACATATGCTGCTTAAGTTGGCGGTTCATTCCACAGTGGTTAATAAAGGAAGAAAGCCGAAAATAAAGTGAATGAACAAAGGAATGACTAATAGTTTGACTTTAAAATAATTTTGATTGTGATGATTTTGTCAGGGAGTGAATCTGCATACAATATAATACACATAAAACAAGCATAAATTAATAAAACAGTCCTGAGAGACAGAAATTAAAAGATCAAATGTAAAATATCACTTTATAAGGTTGAAAATCTTTCATTAAAGTTGTCCTCACACTATTTAACAACATCCTGTCCTGTCTTAGGAACATTTTGAAACTCTTTTCTGATACGCTTCAAACGTTGATTATTTTAGCCTTCATTGTGGAAATAATTAAATGCAATTATTCTTTGTTGAAACTACACATTTGATCATTTCTAGTGCCCAAATGGTTTTAATTCACTTTAAATCTTACATTGTCTAATACAGACCTGAAAAGTCTTTCACTCAGTGAGAGTTAAACTGTTCAGAACTGAACTCTGTCTTCTGGTTACTCACAATCCCAACTCAACACAGAAGATCCTCCGATGTGACTATTGCAGATTTGCACATTGTGATATCGATGCTGAAACAATATAGATTTAGGTAACATCAATGCAGCTGGACTTTAATCACTCTTTGTTGGCATCATAGAGCAGCCGAGCTGAGCTGAGCTCCTTCGTGGCACCTAAAGGCCAGAATTGGTGCAACCTAAACTGAAACTGAACTGGCCAGCCACTAATCTGGCTTCATAGCACAGACTCCACATCTCCACAATACGAGTGAAAGCTGTGGTTGTTTGAGAGGGGGATGGTGGTGTCTCTCCCTGAGCTCCAGAAGTGTGTCCAGAAAGGCTTCTGCTTTTGCCTGCAAAAAAAAAAAAAAATAAGTCCAATAAAAAAATTGCTCAGCCGTCTCTTCCCCAGATGTTTAGGTTCTCTTTCTAGTGGAGTGACCCTCCAATAAATCTAATAAAGGGTTCATTCTGCTGTGGCGACCTCTTATAAATAAAGGGAATAAGCCAAAGGAAAATGAATTAATGATTAAATATATTTTAATAATTATATAAAATATTAACTTTTAAAATAAACACAAATGAATCAGATGCTTTAGATCAGTTTGGAAATAACCCACGTCAATGTCATGCTTTCACATGCCAGGTAAAATATTCATGTTGCAGATAATAATAATAAAAGGTAAATAACCCTGCAGCAGTTGCTTTTACCCAAAACATTTTCAAAAGTGAGAAGAACCTAATCATCCTAATAAGGAGAAAAAATATGAGGGGCTGATATAAATGAAGAGACTTAAGAGCACACATAAGAGTCTGAGCATTGCTCTTAAGTGTTGACATGATGCTGTTTGTCACAGAAATAATAATAACCATGAGGGCAGCATTCTCTCTCAATTATGAATCACATTTATTCTCAATGGGAACTAAGACTGTGATTCTCTCACACCTCTCTTTTTGTTTCATTTTTTTGCTCCAATTAACAGAGTGCTCTTGTCCGTGTACACAAACTATCAACATTTTAAGCTTTCATAGAGAAACACAGACATGTTACAATAGAGATTTATGACTGATTGCTGAATAAACTGTGGCTTGTTATTGTGTGATTGTGACCAATAATGTGGTGATCCAGCAAGACCTGGAAATCAATCACCATCATTCAGGCTCGCAGCTAGACTGGTGAAAAGGGGGGTTCATTTTTTTCAGTAAGTGGACCTTTTGCAGTTATTCGCCTTATGTTCTACTTAATTATGAGATTTAAGTATTGCATTTTAGGGTCATTTTAAACACTATTTTTTGTTGGATTAGCTTGACGGATGGTCATCATAACCACACTGTTTCATGTACCAAAAACATTTGCTAAATATATAAAAATAAAGAAATATGAAATTAATACTTAGTTTTAAATACAAATTAGTTACATCATAAATCATTAGGAAATAAAGTAGTTAAAGTTTTTGTAAAAACAAAAGTACATTTTGGAGCTTCAAACCTTTTTATTTATTTATTTTTTTTCTAGAATCAGGTCCAAGGTTCAGAATAAAAGCTGGGCTACTTGTAGTGAAAGATGACTTTACTTTTGTCATATTATATGTTCTCCTGCACAGCCGGATGTTGGACTCATGAAAAATAATTGTTTGCATTTAATGCAGGTCTTCTTTGATGGGTTATTTTCACAATTTATGATGGCATAGCAGTCAAAAAAGACAAATGAGCTCATGTATGGGGTTTCCAGATATGTTGATATTCGGAGTAACTACATTTTGTGGTAAGGATGATGAAGCTGTAATACATTTATTTTGAATGTGAATTTATCTTCAAGATTTCATCTTGTTTGGAGTTTTTTTATGCATAAACACAAATGCATTTCTTCAGTCTCTACTTTTCCACATGTTCTGATTGAAGTTGACCCAATGCTAAAATCTTTCCGTATGTGTAACAACAACAAAATGTGTCAGATTCTTGGTTCTATATGAAGAACTGTTGTCTTTTGACTCTTATTTGACTTGGATAGCTTTTCTTTAATGCTCTTAATTGCTTTATTTTCTTATATCTTACTTAGGCCTGTCATTACAATGGGATCTCATCCAGACTGTGATTTTATTTTATTTTTTGCTGATAAATATTAGATATTTGTAAAAATAAATAAAGTAACAATGTTGTCTATCACCCCTGCTAATATATATATATATATATATATATATATATATATATATATATATATATATATATATATATATATATATATGTTGATAAGGTATAGGTTTTGTTACTGGTTTAAGCTGGTCAGGACCAGCACATGACTATGACCAGCTAAAACCTACCTTACCTTCCTTCCTATCTAAATTACAAACATTCACAGGAGGTGAGCATCAGTTCCCTTTTGTGGTCATTGAGTTTATCCATTACGACTTCTCTTTACCTAACCTGTGTTTGACCATGGCTGACACATATAGCAGTAAAGTTAGTTTTAGGTTCGCACATTCGTTCAGTGGCAACTTGTGACGTTCTCCTTATATTGTTTACCAAGGTAGTTTGAATATTCAGTCTGAAATCACATGTAAGTATGACTTGAAAACGACATTAGCGCTATTTAGTAGACTGCCAACAGTGCTGTACTTTGATAGCCATTGGCTGCTAATGTGATTTCACTATTTAGAATGTGCAAATAATACTTCTCAGAAATTATATTATTAAGGAGAACGTCTGAATGTGTGAATATAAAACCAACTTTACCTCAATGTGACACATTCCTTGCACATAGGCTACACTTACACACATTGATGGCTTTTTAAAACAAACACGTCATAGGCTTTTTAACTTAAGTCTAAGCATTTTTTATATTACATCTCATAGAAATTAAAACTATTAAATAATAAATAAACTAAATTAATTAATGACAACATTTTACATTATTCAACTTTTAAATATCATCTGTTAAACAGAATTTACAGAAATAATGATGTGTGTGAGTGATGTTCTTGAAAAGCTGCTTTGCAAACAGACAGAAGTGCTCAAAACCCCACATGCTGGTGACAGAACAGTGTTCAACACTCGTGTTGTTTGTGTTTGTCCAGATGACTCTAAACACTGGCCATTTTAGTCATCTTATCCGTTCTTCAGAGCTCATTGCTGAACCAATATTTCACCGATAATTTCTACGTTCATTTAGTAATTCAGATGCTCGAAAAACTGACAGATTCGTTCAGAAATATAGAAGAAATAATTGGTGCACACTCACCTGCAGCAGAGCAAAGCAGACATCCACTTCTGCTTGAAGATTGATTGATACACTTGATGACCACAAGAGGGACCCTGCAGATACAATGAGTGATAGAATGTTCGCTTGTTTGTTTATTTATTTACTTTACTTAGAAAAAAGTTTTTAATCACTAAACACATTCAGTCATATGCAGGAGGGCCTATTCAAGCTAGATATTTAATGACAGTCTGTACCTGGAAGTCATTTTCAGTCTGTCTTGTAGAAAGTATGCAGTTCCCCTTCCGCTCCGCTAGAGGCGCAAGAGACCTCACGTTTAGCACGAGGCTCACCTGTGGCTCTCTGTAAACAACACGACGATTGACCACAGTCAAAACAAAGCTTTCTGACCGTTTTAAAGATATAAAAGTAATTTTCCTGCAGGTGACAGTCAGTGAGAGCCTTTTAATGTCACTTATCAGAACACACTTCAGCCCTTCTGGCAAAAGCATGCGACTATCTCTGGATGATGTGCAGGAATGCTGGACACTCCAACACCTGTAAGTAACTCTACACTTCTGTCGTTAAAGGATTATAAAGCAATGCTTCATTTGCATTTAATCGTTAATGACGTTTATATTGAGGTGATTGCTGTCAAGTTTATCATGTAGAATAATAATATTCAGCAGTAGTGCTGTTTGTTTTTGCATGCAGTCTAATGAATTCATGTCTGATATCTTTATTTTTTGAGCTTCTGGTTATGATTCATCCAGAATTAATGATTTGTGTGTCCAGTTTCATGTTATAAACTTTAATATATATAATGGTACATGTTTAAATTGTGCAACTGCATTGATTAAAATTAAACTCAGCACTGTAAACTAGTTACCATTTGATTGTGTTATGTGGCAATATTATTTTCTTGTAAATCATGTTAGAAATGGCACTAAAAACACAGAATATAGTAATAAATATTTATATAGATATAAAATCATGTAATACATATAGCCTTGAATACTTAACATGTATTTCACTGCATTAAAATAACAAAATAGACATGCAAGTAATGAAATAATCTACTATAATAATAAACTTTAAATATAATAGTATTGATTTGCAATATGAAAATAAAGAGATTCTTAGTTTTATTTATTGATTTATGTATTCCAACCCAACTTTAAATAAATAGTGGAATAGTTTATTTATTTATGTTTTTTTTTTCTTGCAGAGTTTATGTTGGACACATGGACAGTCAGTCGCTGTAATTGTGGTCATCTGCTCATCATGCTGAGGTAATTTGTTTCTACTTTTCTGTTTTTTTGTTTGTTTTGTTATTAAAAAGTGTGAAGACTCCATCAATGTGTGTTGCAGAATAGATCACACAAATATAGTGATGATAACTTTCTCAACCTCATGTCTTATTGGAACATGGAAAAATATTTAGCATCAAGTTATTTTATTTATTTTTCTGCACAGTGGATATTTTTTCTCCACTGATTTCCGTCATTCAGGCTTGTAAACACATACGGACATAAACATAATTTACTCTTCTCGTTTCACATTGTAGCAGTTGAAACATTTGTATTTGTCAGGATGTTTGCTGTTTTATTATGCATTTTACTGTTATTTATTCCCATCATTTAGTATTGAATTTTTCTATAGTATGATTTATTTGTCAGTAGTCATTTTTACACTTTTAAATTCTGAATATGTCTTTAATAATTTTTAAGTATTTAAGTATTAACTATTCTAAGAATATTATTTTAATAATTTAAAGTCGTTCAATTAATTAATAATTTTATACCCTGTATTTGAAATTTTATTAAATAATTGAACAGGTTTAAAATGAAAATAATATATGTATTTTTATTTTTTCATTTTTTTTTCTTTTGCAAAAACATGAATTTTTTTTAAATCCAATTTTCACTTTTTTTTTTTTTTTATAAATCTGTGGAGGAGTGGTATCTTTAAATTAAACAAACAAACAGTTGTTAGTATGAGAAACTGGTGGTTGAGTGGTCAGAGCTCTTGGTTGGAGATCCAAGCCTGACACAGCAGAACAGGGTTCAAATCACCACGCTGATACTAGTTTTGGGAATTTTTGCAAAAAAAAGTTTTTTTTTTTTAAAAAAAGGAAAAAAATTTTCTCTTTTTTTGCTCCACCTTCTGTCTCTGCTCCTCCCCTCTCTCCTTGTCCCGCCTCTCTCTGTGTCGTGGCTACCTCTCCTTGTCCCACCTCTCAGTCCAGCCTACCTTTCTGTATTACTGCCCCAGGTTTGTCCGAGTCATCACCGCTGCCTTGTCTTACCACCGCCGGATGGTCTGTGCCTTTGCCACGCACTTCTCTTACCGCCCCAGGTATGTTTGTGATCTGGTCCGTGTTTCACTGTGTACTCGCGAGCCTTTCGGTTTTGCTCTCTGCTCCTCCTCTGTTCTGTTATACCGCCCCAGGTATTTTCTTTGGTGTACTCCGCACACTTGAGGTGGGTTTCGTACCCACAACTCTCCGTAACCTTGTCCGCAACCAACGGGTGTTATCAGTCGTGCCATCCTGGCTTTCACAATGACACCTGCTTTTTGGCGCATTTTGTTTCGTTTAATGATGGCGATTTAACCAAAGCAAAAGTGAGGTTTGAACTCGGGTCTCTAAGATGAAAGCCTAATGCCTTATCTCCTGAGCCACTGAAGCTCTGGAGTTTGAGTATTGTTTTTGAGTATATTTAGCAATACATCATGTATGTATTTTGCGTATAAGAAGAATGATAGTATTTGTGGGATTCGAACTCACACTGTTAAATGTAGTGATTAAGTATTCTCCCACTTAGCCACAAGCTTGTTGATGCTATAAAACTTTCTTTTTGCAGTTTTATCATCTGTATAGGAATTTTATAAAAGCAATAGTGGGATTTGAACCCGGGTCTCCAAGATAAAAGCGGAGAGGTTTTACCACTGGGCCATTGAATTTGTGAGTATTGCAAGCTTTTGGACAGGGTTTTGTTGAAAGCTTTAGTTTATATCACAGAAAAAGTTCGTTTGCAGACTTTAACATTTGCAAAAGTGGGATTTGAACCCGGATCTCCAAGATGAAAGCTCAAAGAATTTACCACTAGGCCATTGAAGCTGTGAGCGGGAGTTGTTTTGAACAGCGTTTTGTTAAAAAAGGTAGTTTGTATGACCACAAATGTTTAGATTACAGAGTACCAGCAATAGTGGGATTTGAACCCAGGTCTCTAAGAAGAAAGGTCAAAGATTTTACCACTAAACTATTGAATCTGTTGCTTTTATGTGGTTTTAGTCAGGGTTTTGTTGAAAGCTTTAATTTATTTGACCAATATTAGCATCAGTGGGATTTGAACATGTGTCTCCCAGTATAAAGCTTAAAGCGCTTATCACTGGGCCATTGAATCCAAGGGTCTGGTAATGTTTTGGACAGAGTTTTGTTAAAAGCTTTCATTTATAGGGTTAAAATGGATTAGCTAACAGGGTTTAACACCTGCATTAGTGGGATTTGAACATGGGTCTCCGAGTTGAAAGCACAAAGATTTTACCACTCAACCACTGAGTCTCAGTTTTGCCCATGTGTTGGACTTCTGTTTTATAGACAGCTTTCAGAAACAGCATCTACATTTATAAAACTAACAACAAATGCCCCTTCAAAACAGTGTTCAACCTCACAGCTTCAGTAGCTCAAGTATTAACACATCAAGTTTTAAATCTTTAAGACCCGGGTTGGAATCCCACTCTTGCAGAGCTATTGGGAGACAGTTTTGTTTCATTTGTGTTTGATAACACTCATATATGAAGTGGAGTTTTCAAGTATGATTACCCATACTCAAACCTGCTTTTGAATTATCCAAGCCCAGCCGGGACTGAGCTTGCAACCTTTCGATTACAAGTCCAAATCCCTAACCACTAGGCCACAGCTGCCTCTTAGAGACTGCAACAGTTGCATTTGAAACTCCTCTCATTTTTTTTAAATTAGGAGTTTGTGTACAATATTTAGTGGATGAGCAGAAATAGATTTGATCAACTTTTAATCACTTTATGTTAAATCATTGAGTTTGACATTACAATTGACAAACATTGTGGAATTTAAACGTGACGTTTGAATGAGGACTTTAAAATGTTATAAAAATAATGTTCATGTTTCCATTTCTTGAACCATGGATTGTCTCATAAGCCTTTACAGATGTACAGGATAATATTTCTGTCTTAATTTTTCTATCACTTCTAGATGAGCTTGTGATTCATTGAACACAGCTAGATCCTTTAGGGTTCATCAGTCCAACTGCTTCTGAGCTGGACCTGAGAGAGACATCTAGTGCTCAATGCTGATATTACAGCTCATTCACAAACAAATGAGTGGAATATTGTTGCAGGTAAGGTAAAAAAAAACACAATTAATCAAGCAATCATGACAATTGTAAATAAACTTTTTATTAAAAATACAGCTCCTGATATTTGACTTTTTTTTTGCCTGTAAACACTTTTAGTAAGTGTCATTGAGTAAACTGTGAAAGATTAGTCTTCATAATTTCTCCGAGACACACAGTAGCGTAGCAGATCGTCTCCAGGTCAAAGTTTAGTGACAGACAGTGTGTTGTAGATTCGTCTGATGGACTCGTCTGCAGGCTATATGTGATGTTCTGTGGCTTAGCGAGCAGGGGTCGATAACATCCAGGTACGTTGAGTTTAAGGGGAGTCACTCTGCATCAGTCTTAATACCATTGACCCAAATTGTTTTCCCTTTTCAGACTCAGCCAAAACCAGATCGCCCTGAACAGTATGTAATTGGCCTGTATAATTGGTTCCACACTCTGCTGTAGTAGGAGTGAAGGTAGAAGACCCTCATGCTGTAGGGTAAACTGAGCCAACCACGGGTGCAACACTCCTGTCCACTGCCGTACCGGTGGAGCGCCCGCAGCATGAGCCGCTCTCTGGCTTTATTTGCTGGCATCAGTGCCAAGCTCTCCTTGGCGTTCCCTGATCAAAGAGAACAGTTAGTAGTTCTTAGACGCACTGGAACTGAACTATATTAAGCAACAGTTATCAGCATGTATTGAAATCACCAATGTTATGTTTCGCTTAATGTTTATCTATTTTTTATAGCAAAGTGGTCAACATTAATTTTGTTTAATTGAGCTTTACAAATAAATTTCGATGCTCAAATATACATTTGCGGCTGAACTATTACTATTTTAGCCATCAGAGGAATTATGAACTTGATGAAATTAATTTGATGATTCAAGTTTTAGAAAGCTTGATATTATATCATATTGATGACAGTGAATGTAATATGTACATATGCATGCATACACATGAT